AAAGACCTGAAAACCACAAAATGCTGATTTTGGGGGGTGAAAAGAGGCAAAATCAGGGAAAATGTGGCCCAGTTTGGGGCAAAAAGGGCCAAAAAAGGGCAAAATAAAACCATCCGACCCCGTTCTGCTGGCTGCTGGAAAAAAAAGGCCAAATACATCAAAATTTGGGCAAAAAAGACCTGAAAACCACAAAATGCGGATTTTAGGGGATGAAAAAAGGCAAAATCTGGGAAAATGTGGCCAAGTTTGGGGTAAAAATGGCCAAAAAAGGGCGAAATAAAACCATCCGACCCCATTCTGCATGGCTGCCGAAAAGAAAAGGCCAAATACATCAAAATTTGGGCAAAAAAGACCTGAAAACCACAAAACGCGGATTTTGGGGGGTGAAAAGAGGCAAAATCTGGGAAAATGTGGCCAAGTTTGGGGCAAAAAGGGCCAAAAAAGGGCAAAATAAAACCATCCGACCCCGTTCTGCTGGCTGCTGGAAAAAAAAGGCCAAATACATCAAAATTTGGGCAAAAAAGACCTGAAAACCACAAAATGCTGATTTTGGGGGGGTGAAAAAAGGCAAAATCTGGGAAAATGTGGCCAAGTTTGGGGCAAAAAGGGCCAAAAAAGGGCAAAATAAAACCATCCGACCCCGTTCTGCGTGGCCGCTGTTTCTCTTCAACCCCACCATCCTTTTTTTCCCTCCTTTTCCAACGTTTTCTTTTCCTTTTCCCATCATTTCCCCCCGCTTTTTCCACCCTCTTTTGATTTTTCAACTCGTTTTTTTTTTCAATTTTTAATTTTTTTTTTTTTTTTTTTTTTTTTTTTTTTTTTTTTTTTTTTTTTTTTTTTGCTTTTTCTTCTTTTTTTTTTTTTTTTTCCTCCCTCCCCCCCCAAAAATTTTCATCCTATTTTTCTCGGCTTTCTCACCGAGCGCTGCTGAGAACAGCAGGGGATTCCCCCCCTTCTCCCTCCAATGAAGCGTGGCTGCTTTTCTGCCCCTCCAGGGACCCGCAGACCCCACCAGGATGCATTTTTTTAGGGTGGGTGGGGGGATTATTTCTGTCCCCCCCCTCTTCCCCCCCCCCCCGTGTTTATCCTTTGGGTTGCTTTCGTGCCCAATTCACGCCTCCAAACGCTCACCTTCGTTTTTCTTCGCATCCAGCTGCACCTACAGCAATTTCACCCCCCCTCTGTTCACAGAGCCACCCCCCACCCACTCAAATCACCCAGGACCCCCCCCCCAAACAGCCTCAGACCCCTTCCATGGATGGGGCTCTCCGGGCATCTCCAGACTTTCAGCTGATAGTTGACCCTTCATGCCCATTTCTACAGCAATCCCTGCCATGTTTTCCTTCTTCCTGACATTTCCCCAGGAAATGAAGAATATTCAGGCACCGTGGGGACAGCAGAGTGCAAAACAGAGGTGAACTCATCCTTCTTTTCGTGCTAAAACCACAGTTTTTTTTTTTAACTTTGTTGTGTTTTTACTGCGCAACGCCACGCGCCCGCCGAGCAGCAGCCAGGCAGGTGTTCCACAGGGGATGTTTTTTGGGGTAGGAAAGGAAATATTTTGGTCTTGCCTGAAACGCGTGGGCAGCCCGCAGATGGAGCAGCTGTGGACGATTTCCTTTGCTTATTTTTATTTTTTATTTATTTTTTATTTTTTTTCCCCCTTTTTCGGCATTTGTTTTCGCTGCTATTAACGGTGATGGTGGTTGGACAGCGTGGCCACTAGAGGTGAAGGGCTGTGACAACAGCTCAAGGGACAACAAGGCAGAGCACAGTGAGGCTGCAGCTGAACAACCTCAGGGCTGAGGACACCTCCACCTACAGCTGTGTGAAAAGTTCTGGTAGTGGTTGTGATTACGAAGCTCAGCACCTCGACGTCGCCCCTGGATTTATTGGGGGTCAACCCAGAGCTCCCAGATTGGGAGATCAGAGCCCAAGCGATGGAGCTGAGCTGAGAACGTGCAGAACTCAGCCCAAAATCTGCTGCACGCAGTGATGGAACTGATCAGAGAAAATTCAGAAGAAGGGATGGGGGTGGGGATGGGGATGGGATGGAATGAAGTGATGATACAGAAGGCCGTGGTCGTGGTCATGGTTATCAGTCTGGCTTAGCAGATGAGTTGGGATATCTGCAGAATTGAGGACAGGGGGAGAAGAGCAAGGGGAGAATTTTCATTAGAAGGGGTGGTGGTGGATCTGGATATGGTTATGAAGATGCAGATGGTCGTGGTTGTCATCGTGGTTATCAACATGGATACGGATATGGATAGGGATGTGAGTATGGTTAATGACATGGTGATGATGGTGGTGCTGGTGACAGTGACAGAGCCGTGTCCCTGCCCAGCACATCCCCACATCCCAGGGCTCCATCCTGCAGCAGCGTGGAGCTGAGCCCCAATGTTTTTACGGAGCCCATCCCCTCTCTCAGCACAACGGGGGGACGAGAGGACGGAGGGTCTCTTCAGAACGGAGCCATTCTGTGATTGCGTGCACAGATCCAATTCTTTGTGCCCAGCACAGAGCTCTGCAGCCCGGATGGAACCTTCCCAAGTCTGGATGAGCACACGTCCTTGTGATGCC